AGACAGACAGACAGACAGACAGACAGACAGACAGACAGACAGACAGACAGACAGACAGACAGACAGACAGACAGACTCAGGTTATTCCAGAAAACATGATTCTTTCCAGCTTCTGTCCTTCAACTAGATAACAATGTTATGATTTCCATTTCATATGATTAAAAAAACTAAAATATTACTTCTCCAGGTTTTTTTGGGGGGAGGAGGGTTGGTTTTGAAAGTGTGTTGATCCAATGAAGGCATAAATCTTATTTTTTTCTTTACAAAGCTCCACAGTATCTGTATTTTGAGTGTCCTCTATGTAATTTTTCTATACTGTGTATGTTTTAGCTTATTCATTTTTAACAATAAAATTATTTTTCATATTAAATATGACATATAAAATATGAAGTCATGATCACCATTTTTAGAAAAAATATAAAGACAAACCCTTCTAACAGGATTGTTACCTTCTGGTGTGCAAAGTGGCAATAGGGATACAAAAGAATCTTCCATGTCAAAGATTTTGGCTTTTTCAATTTGTTTGTTTTTGCTGTTTGAATATATGTGAGAAAAGATAATGTTAAGGAGCAGAGGTTTGTAGATACTTAAAGCAACCAATTTTCCCCTTAAAATTCCAGATCCATACAAAAATGAATCCAAGTCCATCTGCTTTTTGAGATATTGATGTATCATGCTGGTGTGACTAAAAAACATTATGCACTGTTCATTAGATTTTCTTAAAACTGTATTCTGCGCTATTAAGAACTATTCAGTATGTTTTTAAAAACCTGTACATTCTAATTGAGCATCAAAAGTTAAATGTTGCCATAAAACACTAGTGTTCTTACCTCCCATAAGCGAAGAATATCTTGAAAATTAAATTCTCTTTTAAATCTTATTAGAAGCCATCGGAAACAAAAATAAAGATAGCCTGAATCTTGAGATTCTAAAGAAATGGGGGAAAATACATCCATAAATCCTCTTAGAAGGCTATTTTAACTTCACAATAAAAGACAACTGAAGAGAAATTCTTGGGTAAAATGATCAAGCTATGAACAAACATAATAATTTATATAATACTGCCATAACTGTTTTATTGTTAGTTCAGGACAAAAATCTAACCATTAATATCCAAAGTTATACCTAAAGTTATTTTAACTATAAATGCAAATGGAATAAAACACATAGACTGAAACAGTCATCTGAATCACATTTAACACTAGGGCATAAAGACTGCTTTTTAGGGTTAGAGATGTATGAACCAGGATGGCTTGCTCTACAAACCATGGTTAAAAACACTTGGGTCAAAATTATGCATAAAGAAGGTTATTATCTAAAAACCAAAGATTCTTAAAAACTAAGAAAATAACTGATGCAAGAAAATGGTGTAAAGAGTAACTATTTTTTTAAAAAAAATGTATACACACCCAAATAGTTGCAGAATCCACTATCTAATAGGCGAAGTAAAGTGCTCAGTTGAATTAACTGTGTCTTCATACCTTGCATTTGCTCTTCAAAATTTTGATGCTTGATGATAAAGAGTTAGAATATTTTATGTGAATACTCAGAAACCTATATGTATTTAAGTTTAAATTTAATTCTGGTTTTAATTGTTTGTTTTTTTATCACATTTATACTGCCACATCTCACAATAAAGCAACTCTATGTGGCTTACATAAAAACAGTAATAAAATCCAAATGTTAAAAACTATCTCCTTCATTTCCCCTTCAATCTTCCTTCCTTCCTTCCATCTCCATCTCCATCTCCAACCCTTCCCCTTTAATCTCTCCTTCCTTCCTTCCTTCCTTCCCCTTCAATCTCCTTACTTCTCCATCTCCTTCCTTTCCCCTTCAATCTTCCTTCCTTCTTTCCTTCCTTCCATCTCCATCTCCATCCCTTCCCCTTCAATCTCTCCTTCCTTCCTTCCATCTCCATCCTTTCCACTTCAATCTCTTTCTCCTTCCTTTCCCCTTCAATCTACTTCCTTCTCCATCTCCTTCCTTTCCCCTTCAATCTTCCTTCCTTCCTTCCCCTTCCCTCTCTCCCAACATTTTTGAGCAAGGAAGAGTAAGCTTCTCCAGTGAGCATTGCTATATTATTTTTGTGATTAATCACTATGCTTTAATTATGTTCAATTCGTAACAATGAAAATACACCCTGCATATCAGATATTTACATTACTATTAATAACAGTAGCAAAATTACAGTTATGAAGTAGCAACGAAAATAATTTTATGGTTGGGGGTCACCACAACATGAGGAACTGTATTAAAGGGTCACGGCATTAGGAAGGTTGAGAACCACTGTTTTAACTGGAAAAGTTGGGGGTCGTCTTATACAACCAGTCATCTTATACACCGGAAAATACGGTACATACATACATACATAGATGAAACCTACCCAAAGTTCATTTACCTACAGTATATGAATGAACGAACCTTGTATGGGTTTCACTCTTTTCAGCAGAAAGAACAGTTATAAAGGAAATCTCAAAATAAATTGTACCCTTCCTTCCTGTTACAGAAAGGAATTAATTAATCAAGCTACAGTTATACTAGTCATACTGCAGTATATCTTAGGTCAAAATCCTTGTGACCAAGCATTTAATGCATTACTATGTCCGATTTTAGATATTCTAAGCATTTTACTCTATTATTCAGCCACAGAGATCCAGAACAGCTTACAAATGTTTGGCAAAATCTAAGAACTGCCATCTACCAGTTTATAATGTAAATGACACCTGAGAAAATAGCTCAGTAGAGAAGAGAACAAAAAAATGAGGTAATAGTTCTTAGACTTAAATACAGATGTAACAATGATCAATTACAATGGAAGGTACAACCAGATTCAAGTTACTAATTGAAAAGTCATAAGACACAAATTATATGCACCGTCTCCTTTAAAAAGGCCATTTTTGCACTTTCACTATAAAGGTACAATTCAGATTATTCTATCTACTTCTGATTTCATATATTGCAGCAATTTTAACACTTTATGTCTGAATATACTACTAAGAAATATAATACAAAGAATCAGAGAAGGTGGCATAAGGAAATAATATTTCCCAGTCTTAATAGAACAATAATACAAAAGATGAAAATATTTACCATTTGATCCATGTACAATGCAAAGCACCAGAAAGCATCCACTTCATTCTCCATCACATATAAAATAGGTGAAAGTAAGTCACTCATTCCCTGAACATATCCTTAACAGAAAAGGAAAAATGAATTGTTGAACATTTCTCTTTTCTCAGATGATAAATTCTGGAACTAAGAACAAATACTTAGAAAAGATATCCATCTATACATACATACATGCATACATACATACATACATACCCATGTTTACCTGAAAATAAGACAGGGTCTTTTCTTTTTTTTTCTTTTTGGCCTCTAAAACAGGCACCAGGTCTTATTTTCGGGGAATGTCTTACTCATCTCCGGCACCGACAACCCCACACAGCAGGTCCACTTCTTCTAGCCAAAGGAGCAGCTTCATTCATTTTGCTGTCAGGCCGTTCAGGAAGGCCTATGCAGCCGAGTACCGAGCTATGGATTCAATCCATAGCTCAGTCCTTGGTTGCAGATGTCTTGCAGAACCAAGCTATGGATTGAATCCATAGCTGCACAGACCTTCTGGAAAGGCCTGTGACTGAGAAATGCAGGCCTGGCTGCAGAAGACGCCGCAGAAGAAGTGGGCCGGTGAGGAGAGGCCTGGCTACAAGTTAAGTGGGTGCGTGGTGCGTGGGGCAGCTCCACCCACCTACCCTTGCCCTAGCTTGATTTTTAAGTGTGTGCTTCACCCCAAAACTACGGCTTATTTTTGGGGTAGGCCTTACTTTCGGGGAAACACGGTAATACATACACACATAGACACACAGATAAACAGACACAAATAGAGATATAGAAATAAATACATTTTAAAAACTTACAGTACTTTTTAATAGATGTTATACAGTATTAAATGTATGCATAATAGTACTGGACCTCCTTCATGACAGGTTAAAATAGAAATATACTATAGATATATTCTGCATTTTAAGATGTTACCTAATACAATTTACTCTTTTTCTTATTTCTCTCTTAATTAAAACTTTAAGATTGAATACATCAGACTGTCTTTGATTAATTTCAAGAAATAATACTTCACAGGGTCAATAAAAGATAAAGCTTTACTTACCCAGATCAAAGTCATACATACAATAGGTCATCAAAATGTCATGAAGTAGTATCAATCCAGGATTATCTTGACCCTCATAAAATTTATTTGTTCTATCTGTTCTGTTTACATCCTTTTCTAGAAAAAAAGCATAGATTTAATGAATTTTTAAAACAGTCTGAAGACTATATCTTGAATTTCCATTTTTAACACTGTGCTGAACTTGAAATAGCTAGCAAAATAAAGGCATTAAAACAGCTTTTAAAAATATAGTATTTGAAATAAAAAAATATATCTGTCTCAAAATTATTTCTAATATAGGTAGTTCTTGAGTTAAAATTGAGCCTGGCAATTACAGCTGTAAGTTGTGACAGTCATAAGGTGGGTGACCATCATATGAACAGACTCTTTTTCACAGTGTTAAGCTAATACCACAGTCATTAAGTGAAACCACTATTCACCATGGGGCAGTTTTTACTGGAAACTGGAAGTAAACACCTATTTTCATCAAAACTATTGTAAATCAGTCACATGACTACAGGGCACTGCAAATATGTTAAATGTGACTCAAACTCTAGGTATATGGCGTTGCTTTATATTGAATGGTAATAAAATGATAAACAATCAAATTTAAATTTTGTTGGGGTTCAAATTGGATGTTCTGAAATTTTTTTTCTTCCTTTCAATCATGTCCAATTCTCAGAGACTGCCTAGACAAGTCCCTGCAGTTTTCTTGGCAAAGTTTTTCAGAAGTGGTTTGCCATTGCTTCCTTCTTTTTTTTTATAACGATATTTTATTAATTTTGTATAATCACAAATCCTTAATATTTTATCAGCAACATGTTGTCTGGATTCCAATATCTAGTTTACTAATACATGTTAAACTCCTTTCTCTCTACCTTGTTTTTCTAGCCATTGATAAAATGTATCCCATGTTCTAAAGCAGTGGTGGCGAACCTATGGCACACGTGCCAGAGGTGGCACACGGAGCCTTCTCTGTGGGCACGCGCCATTGCCCCAGCACACGTGGTCTCTAAGTTCACTGCCAGCCAGCTCGGAGCCACCATTGGGGCATTTCTGCACAGTCTAAAATTTTCCTGATTATCTCTTCCTCGCTGGTAATTCTTCATCTTTCCAATGTTGAGCAAATACAATTCTTGCTGCAGTTAATACATGTGACATTAAATATACACATTCTTTCTCATAATTTCCTGCAATTATACCTAACAGAAATAATTCTGGCTTAAAATCTACGTGGTTTTTTTGTCATTTTCTCTAACCATATACTGTATGTATTCTTGATCAAAATCTTTTAGTCTTAGGGCATGTCCACCAAAGATGATAATATGTACCTGGTTTTTGTCTACATTTCCAACAATTAGTAGACATATATTTAAACGTTTTTGCTAATCTCACAGGTAGTGCCATTTGTAAAACATATTATATAAGTTTACTTTGTAAGCCACCACCTTTGTTATTTTAGAATTTCTTTCCCAAAGTCTTTGCCAGTTTTCTAACTCGATGCTATGTCCGAAGTTTTTTACCCATGTTATCATTCTTTCTTTAACTTGTTCCTCATCCATCTTTAAACTTAGCATGTACTTATACAGTTTCTTAATCAATTTTTTATCTGATGCCAATAGTATCTGGTCAAATTCTGTCTGTTGTTTATAGAATCCAGATGTTTTAACATCTTTTTCATATCTCATTTGAATTTGCAGGTGTGGCCACCATGATAGATCAATGCCCTGTTCTTCTAGTTCTTGTCTAGTTCTTCTTTTTATAAGTCACAATTTGCTCATTGTTAACTAGGTTTGGGTGAACAAATGCTTCCATTGTTGAAAGCCATCCAGGTATTTTCATGTAGATTTTCGCTTTTACCATTTCTCATTCTAAAAGAAGTGCATTTCTTATAGTGGTTTTGAATGTATCTATGTATTTTATTCTTCCCACACCATAGGAAGGTATGCCATCCAAGTTGTAGGTCATGCCCTTCTAGGTATAGTAATCTTTTATGTCTAAGGGTTATCCATTCTTTCATCCATGTTAGTGCAGATGCTTGATAGTATAGGGCCCAATCTGGCAGCCCAAATCCTCCATTTTCTTTCGTTTCCTGTTGCATTTTCATTCTAATTCTGGCTTTTTTCCCTTGCCAAATAAATTTCAAGATCAATGTATTTAGTTCATCCAAAAAAAAATTTCCCCAATTTTATAGATATTGTTTGAAATAAGAAGAGTAATTTTGGTAAGATATTCATTTTCACAGTTGCTATTCTCCCTAACATTGAGAGTTGTAAGTTTTTCCATTTATCCAGGTCTAGTTTTATTTGTTTTAATAGTTTTGCGTAGTTGTCTTCTTTTATTATTGCACATCTTGCCATTAAGTATATTCCCAGGTATTTAACTTTCTTAACTAGTTGAAGATCTGTTTTTTCTGACTATTGATTTTTTTGTTTATCTGTAAGGTTTTTGTTTATCACTTTGGACTTTTCTCTATTTATTTTCAGTCCTGCCACTTCTCCAAATTCTTCTACCTTTTTCAGAAGTTTGGGGCTCTTCTAATATGAAAACCAAGTCATCCACAAATGCTTGTAGTTTATATTTTTCATCTTTTATCTTTGTTCCTTTAATTTCTGAGTCTTGCCTAATATTTCTATTTAAAACTTCCAATGTTAATATAAATAATAATGGGGATAATGGACATCCTTGTCTTGTGCCTTTTTAATGTTTAAATTTTCTGTAAAATCTCCATTTATGACTATTTTAGCTATTTGTCTATGATAGATTGTTTTAATTGTATTTATAAAGTTTTCTCCAAAATCCATTTCAATTAGTTATTGAATCATGAATTGCTAGTTTACGTTATCAAAAGCCTTCTGTGCATCTAGGAATATTAGTGCCATCTGCTTCCCTGGGTGCATTTCATAGTATTCCAAGGTGTCTAAAATCATTCTTAATTTGTTTTTTATTTGTCTCTTAGGTAAAAATCTATTTTGGTCTATGTGTATAAATTCAATCAGAATCTCTTTAATCTTTATGCTATTATTGAAGCAAAAATTTTATAATCCACATTTAATAGAGATATTGGTCTATAATTTTTTTATCTATGTCAAGTCTGTGTCTTCTTTGGGTATTAAAGTAATATTAGGTTCTGTCCAAGTATTTTGGTATTTTAGTCTCTAAAAGTACTTCATTACATAGTTCTTTCATTAATGGGCTTAATGTATCTTGTAGGCATTTATAAAACTCTGCAGGTAGCCCGTCTGGACCCAGGGTCTTATCATTTTTTTGCCTTTTTATGACCTCCATTACCTCCATCATTGATATTTTTTCATTTATCATATTTTGGATATTCTCTGAGATTTTTGGTAAGTCAGCTTTTTTATGTATTGCTTTATTTTTTCTTGCAAAATTTCTTCTGTGTCGTAAAGTGTCTCGCAAAAGCCTTTGATTTTTTTGATTATAGTCATTTTGGAATTGTAAATCACCTTTTGAATCTTGCAGTTTGTTTATCAATTTTTTATCTCTTTCTTTTTTCAATTTGTATGCTAACCACCTATCCGGTTTATTAGCGTTTTCAAAAAAGTTTTGTTTTGCCCTTTTAATTTGTTGTGCCATTTTTTCAGCCTCTGCTAGGTTTAATTTATGTTTTATTATTTCCATTTGCTTTTTAAGAGTTTTCTTTTGTGGATCTCTTTGTAGTTCCAATTCCAATTTTATAAATTCCTCCTTTAACTTCGTTTGTTGTTGCATTTTTTCTTTATTTTTTTCACCATGTAAAAGTTATAGCCAAACTTCTAAAGTATGCTTTAGCTGTATCTCACACATTTTGAAGAGATATCTCTTCTTTTTTGTTTATTTTAAAGAAAAATGTTGCTATTTGTATAAATTATTTCTCTTTCAGATTGATTCAGAGACCATCTTAGTTTTTTCTTAGCTCCTCTCCAAGTCATCTTTATCGGATTATGGTCTGCCCATATGTTGGTTTCTATCTCAATCTCCTGTATAATCGTGCTTAATTCAGGGGATATCCATATCATGTCAATTCTAGACCATGATTTGTGCCTGTTTGAGTAAAATGTATATTGTGATTTTGGGGGGTTCTTTTCTCTCCATATATCCTGTATACAGATTTCTTCTGCCATTTTAAAGAAAATCTTAGGTAGTGTATTCCTTATTTTTTTCCCTGTTTCGCTACTTCTGTAGTCCAGCTTTCCATCTATTATTGCATTAAAGTCTCCCATTAAACAAATGTTTTGATATTCCAATTCCACTATTTTTTGTGTAATTTTTGATAAAACTCTTCTTGTTTGTTATTAGAAGCATATATTGCTACCATCAATATCTGTTTTTGATTTATCATTATTTCCACCATTAATATTCTTGCCTCTTCATCTGCATAGATTTGTTTGGGGTTCACTGTCTCTTTGATATATAAAGCTATTCCTCTTTTCTTTTGTTGTGCTAATGTAAAGTGAAGTTTCCCAATTTTTGGTTGTTCTAACAGTTTGTAATGTTGTCTTTTAATATGTGTTTCTTGGAGACAGACTATATCCATTTTTAATTTTCGTAGTCGTGTAAAGATTTTTTTCCTTTTTGCGGGGGAGTTCAATCCATTTATATTCATTGAAAGAATCCCATTTTCCTTCTCCATCTTCTTCAGTTATATTTAGGTTTTATTCTCCTAGTTGTTCTTATCTGTCTTTGTTCTCTTGCTTTTGCCCTTTCTTCTATGTTTGTGTTTTCTGTTTCTTCTTCTTCCCTTGGTTTGGCTAATCCTTCTATTGCTATGTCTTCCTGTTTTTTTGCTTCTCTCTGCATAAAATTCCAGACTTTCCCCTTCCCAAAAAGCTTTGTATCTCTCATAAAATTCCATTGCCTTCAGTGCAGTGTCCAATCTGTATCTTTTCATGTCCCTATTAATTAAAATCCCTTCCGGAATCAGCCATTTGATGTTCACTCGTTTTTCAATTAGTTTTCTGGTCAGGAATTGGTATTCTCTTCTTGAATCTCTTATCCTTCTGGGGATCTGCTTCAGTACTACAATTTCCTTTTCTTTATAATGCAGAGGATCATCTCTTACTCTTCTCAATATCTCTTATAGATCTTCTGATGTATCTAACATGTACTTCTCTGGGACTTTATTTCTCCTCGCATAGCTTGAATTGACTTGAAATATCTGGTCTATCTCTCCTCCTTCCATTTCCTGTTTCCCAATTTCCAGTGCTTCAGCCAATAACTCTGTCATTAAATACGCGAGATCCCCTTCTTTGTCCTCCATTACATTTTGAAATCTTAAAAAATAAGAAGCCTTTTCCATTTCCAAAACTGCCATTGAGTCTTCCATTTCTCTATTTGCCTGCATCAGCCTCTGATTTTCATCTTTTATTTCTTCCATCTTCTGATCAGTCTCTATTGACCTGTCTTCTATTTTTCTGAATTCTTTGTTCATTCTTTGTAACCATCTGTCAGAAGCTTTCTAGTTGAGAGTTTATGTTATGAATTTCTTGATTCATTTTCTCAAAGTTGTCTTTTGTCTCATGTTTTTTCCTTATATCTTCT